GTAGACATTGACCTGATTTCTCATACCCTGATTAGAAACCGTGATTTATCTACTCTTACAGCAGAGTTTCTAAATTCTGCATACAATTTACAAAATAAATAAATTCTGTCTACAATTTAGTCACTCTTGTGCTTCTGGTTAGATCTAGGTGGATGGTTGTAGCGATGTATTTTTAAACTTGACTCAGACAAACGTGATCCCACATGGTTCCATGGGAGTCTGACTACCGCCAATAGGATACATGTTCTTGCCACAGGAACAGGAAGCCCAAGTTCAAAGCCCAAGAAAGGGTATAAAAACCCCTCACTCTCAAACCCATGTGTTCAGCTGCACCAGGGCCCTGTGCTTGATAGTTCTGCTCCATTAAACCATCTTTCCAACCAGCCTCCATGTTTCCAGTGTCTTTCTCCCCACTTGGAACTGAACCCAGATGGACATTTCTTCCAACATACTGTTACAGCAGGGTTCAAACCACGTTGTCTACAGTTTAGCCACTCTTGTGTTTCTGGTTAGATATCGGTGGATGATTGTATTGATGTATTTTTAAACTTGCGTGGGTGTCTGAAATGGCTCTGAATGTTCTTAGCTGTCCTTGACCTCCACATGGAGATGAGTAAAGAGGAAGAAAAAAGGAGCAATCTCTATACTGGTAAAACCTCCTAAGTTAGTTTTGCTTTGCTGACCCAACTAATCCATATATGGTCTAACTTCCACATGTTTTCACTGTGTTTATTGTGAGCAGTGAGTCATCCAATGAAGATAGTCCTCAAACTGATCAAATGAAACCAGACTGCAAGTTACACAACAGCGATGTGGCAAGATTCTGTCCTGAAGAAGGAAGTCAGCTTCATTTGGTGAATGATTACAAGCAGTCGGTTTCCTGAATAGCTTTGCAAAACTGTTCTCTTGTCACTGAAACCAATCTTACTAGTCTTTTTGGGGGTCAAAAACATATATACTGAGGTTTTTTCCCCGTTAGATTTCATTCATCAGAGTTATCTTGAGGTAAGATGAGTGGCCTATACCAGTGGTTTCCAACCTGGGCAACTTTAAGACTTGTGGACTTCAACTCCCAGAATTCCTCAGCCAGCAAAGTTGGGCAACTTTAAGACTTCTGGGAGTTGAAGTCCACAAATCTTAAAGTTGGCAAGGTTGGAGACCCCTGGCCTATACAATTCATATAATTCAGGGATTAATTAATCCCAATGTTTTATAATTTGTAGGAAATTAAACAGGATAAAATGTGTTTCTGGTATTAATTTAGTATTGAACAGTATTAGATTAGTGATAACCTTTTGATTGGGTTTCATGCATCCATGTGATGAAGACAGCTGATTCATTTGAGGCCCAAGATCAAAGCAAGATATTTATGTTCCTTCAAGTTACTAGAGAGTAAAATTATAACTGTGAGCAGAATTTAATGGGCTCAAAAAAACAGCAAAAATGTGTATTTGGAGGAAAATTTCAAGCAACTGTGAGAAAATTCATTACGCAGATACTGTAAATGGAGCGATCTGGCTGTACAATAGGAGATTTGAACCCTTCCCCAGTTGTTAAATTATTTTCCCGACAGGTAGGTTTAACAAAGTGTCACGTCCATCCACCTTTATCAGGTCAAAGAGGAAGAACAGTGGCTGAACGTAGCTGGGGAGACAGAATGATCTCCCATCCAGGTGTGCTTGCCTGCATGGTAAGGTAGCATCCACCTGCCTGAGATGGAAAGTAGGAAGGTACTTTCTGGGTTCCATCCTACCTTTCATTTCTATTTTCTTTGGGAAGGTGGTTTACTCCCCTTCGAATTGCCATTCTTGAAAGGTTCCAGGAAGAAGCAGGTTGTTAGCTCAAGCTGGGTTGGTGCCGGAGAACAAAAGAGGATGTAGAAAGGTTTATAGAGGGGATTCTATCACCTTGGCACTCTTGCTGCCAAGAGCATAGCACAGGTGTGGCCCTGGTGAGACAACCTGTTTCGGCCGGATCGACTCTCAGGTGCTAGAGAGGTGTTGGGTTGGGCCAGTGAGAAAAGAGGAGTTCCTGAAACTTCTCGGTGAGTGTGCAAGCAATACTCAAATGTCCCTGCAGTTTCTGGGAATGAGTGTGCAGGTTCTCCCGCTGTGTATTCAGAGTTTCTGTGTACTAGAACGGCATTTCCCAACCCACAGGAGGGTAATTGTAATCCAGCACAGTTTTATTTGTGTATTTATTTTGCATCCCGCCTTTTGTTATTTTTACAAACGGCTCAAGGTGGCAACCGTTTCCACCACGCTTCTTTTCCCTCTTCCTATTTTCCCTACAACGACAACCCTGTGAGGTCGGTCGGGCTCACCAAGACCAGCCCAAGGTCATAGAAGCTGGAAAAGATTCACAAAAGGGTGAAGGGATTCCTCCATTTTTTTGATTCGTGGTTTTAAGCAGATTGGATTGCAGTCTTTTTTTTTTTTTTTCAGGCTGAGAAACTAGAGTCTCCAGTTCGAATTCTGCCGCCTGACCTGAATGTAACATGGCTAGCTGTTGTTCTCACCCTGGGCTTTTCATTTTCAGATACAGTGCTATAGAGCTCTGCTTTTTCTTTGATGGGAGAACTTGGATTTAGACCTGGAAATACGTAATATTTTCCTGCATGGGTATCAATTGCTCTTCCAGCAGCTTCTCTTTTTATGTCTTCCAGTAATCCATGGGCTTTTATTTGGTCCTGCACTTTTATAACATGTCAATAAAAAGAAACTATTGCACAGTAGCAATTATGTTTCCCTATATTCTTTGTTGGAATCAAATATTGAGATAACCTTTGCATATGTGCTTTTGTTGGGAGAATGGCTTGCTAGGTATTATAATTCAGACGGTTGCTGGCAAGCAGTGAAAACTCTTGGTGGTAGGGCAGGTGGATGGGCTGAGAAGCAGCAGGGGTGGGCTTCAAAAATTTAGCAAGGGGTTCTCTGCCCGGTTGCTGTGTGGGCATGGCCATGGTGGGCGTGGCCTAGTCAGCCTCCTGCATCACTGTGGGGGGAGGGGCATTTTTGCCCTCCCCGGGCTCTGGAGGCTTTCCTCGAGCCTCTGGGAGGGCGAAAACGGCCTCCCCAGGCTCCAGAGGCCCTCTGGAGGCCTTCCTGAAATTCCGCATCCAAAACAGGCCGCATGGGGACTTCTGGGAGGGGAGGGGAGGGATGGATGGGGCCAGCCAGGAATGGGATTTGGGGGATTGTCCAAACTGCACAGAATCTTAGCTAGAGGTTCTCCTGAACCTCTGCGAACCCCCAGTAGCCCACCCCTGATTAGGAGGGGTAGTCCTACTCCCCTTGAGCACTGAAATAAATGCGGGAAAGGATCACATGTTATTCTGGGGGGGGGGAGGCGAGAGAAAGAAAAGATGTTGTGTCTATCCATCTGTCTGCCTGCCTTGTTTCCATTAAGAGCCACAAATCAGTGATGGGTTCCTCCCAGTTCGGTCCGGTTCTGCCGAGCCGGTAGCGGTGACGATATGACGTCACCGAACTGGTTCTCCCCCCCCCACCCCCCACGTTATTTTTACTTTTTCTTTGGTCTCACCCCCAATCTATTGCTGCCTCCTGAGTCCCAGCTGATGACTAGAGGGAAAAAAAACTGTTTAAACTCTTGCGGTGGGGCTTCAAAGGGCCGTCCTACAGCTGATCAGTGTTAAAAGCAAACAAACAAGTCAGGTCGTAAGTGCGAGGACTGGTCGTAAGTGCGAGGACCTTCCAGAAATGACTCTGACCAGGTAGCCACGCCTACCTAGTCACATGACCTCCAAGCCACACCCACAAACTAAGCCTTGTCCACAGAACCGGTAGTAAAAAAATTTAGAACCCACCCCTGCCGCAAATGTTATGGTGAGCTGGTTTGCAGTGTGATTGCAGAGCAATTTAAAACACAAATCAGTTAATCCCAGGAGTTTAAAGAGTAAAAAAAAAAATCCAACAGAGCAAAAGCTAATTAGAAGTAAGAGATTGAAAGTAAGGAGGAAAGTAAGAGAGACTAAATAAAGCATTGAACCTATTGAATCATACTTGAGATTTTTTTTTTTCTTGCTTTGTGAGCCTCAACAATCGATCCAAATGTTGGACTGGATTGGTCTTTTGCAGCATGTTGTCCTTCTAGGCCATGGTTCACACCTGGTGCTTTTACTTGCTGTGACTGATGGAACTTGTAGTACCTTCTGGATACTTTGGATGGCCTTAAGGATGGCAGGGCTAAGTCTTTACGGATGGAAAGACTTAGATGCCTTGTTAGTGCCATCTAGCAAAGCTTTGTAGGCAGGGCCAGTCTATCCCAATAGAAGAAAATATTTGTAGCTAAGGGTCAAACTTGTTTTCAGATTAACAGAGTTGGAAGGGACCTTGTAGGTCATCTAGTCCAACCCCCCACCCAAGCAGGAGACCCTACACCATTTCTGACAGATGGCCGTCCAGTCTCTTCTTGAAAGCTTCCAGTGATGAAGCTCCCACAACTTCTGAAGGCAACTTCTGTTTCATCGGTTGATTGCTCTCACGGTCAGAAAATTTCGCCTTATTTCCAGGTTGAATCTCTCCTTGATCAGTTTCCATCCATCCAAACTGTGCCGCCATTGGTGCTCTCTGAGTTTGGTTGTTTTTTGGCAGACGTTACCCAACTAGATAACCTCATCAGTGCTAGCATGACGAAGTTACCCAGCTGGGTAATGAAACTTCTGCAAGAATAGCAACCAAACTCGGAGAATTGTCTCAGGCAACAAATTCTGAAAAATGGACTCAGGAGCTGGAGAAAAGAACTGAAATAAGATGAGGTTGCTTTGCACTAAGGCCTTGTTCTATTACCATTCTGAAGAAATATTCAGGTATCAGTTGGAACTGGAGTCACATCAAGCGGAAACATATCTTGCAATGTGTGTCTGGAGAGAAGACCCTGCTGAATATATTTGGATGAGAAAGCGTCCATGGGGTACTTAAGGATTGAGACTTTGGATGTACTAAGATGCAACCTGATCACCTCTGTCTGTCTTCCTCTAGGACATGAACGGCCTCGAGGAAGGGGTGGAGTTCCTGCCCACCATGAACACCAAGAAGCTTGAGAAGCGTGGCCCAAAACGTTGGATAGTGGCAGTCATCGTGGTAGCCATCTCCCTGCTCCTTTCTCTGTCGGTTGGGCTGCTGGTTTGGCACTTCAAATGTAAGTTGTGTTAAGGTCAGGGGTGGGCTGCTGTGGGTTTGCAGGGGTTCGGGAGAACCTTTAGCTAAGATTCTGTGCAGTTTGGAGAACCTTCAAATCCTATTCCTGGCTGGCCCCGCTCACCTGGTCCCGTTCCGCCCCTCCCATCCCAGGAGTCCCCACATGGCCCATTTTGGGTGCAGGTAAGTGCACGCAGAGGCTCACGGTGGGCAAAAAATGGGCCTACCGGAAGTTTGTGAAGGCCAGAAACGGGCCCATGTCTGGCCTCCAGGGGGCCTCCGGAGCCTAGGGAGGCCATTTTTACCCTCCCAGAGGCTCGAGGAAAGCCTCTGGAGCCTGGGGAGGGCAAAAACACCCCCCTACCATGGTGCACACCCACCATGGACTCGCCCACCCAGCAACCAGGCAGAGAACCCCTTGCTAAAATTTTTGAAGCCCACCCCTGGTTAAAGTTCAGCTTACACTCCAAACTAAAAATAGGTTACGAATTATAATACGTTAAGGTAGAACAACTAATATATTACTTAATAACCTGTGACTTCAACCAGCTCTACATCTAAATAAATCCACACACTCCAAGATCTGTGGGTTGAATCACTTGTAAAATAGAACTGCTGAGTTTCTAGTCCTGGTGAATATATTTAGCTTACCCAGTAAAGGGCTAGATTTTACAGTTGTCTTCCAGATGGGTTTCAGCTGTGGTACTCAAGAAGCAACAAGGTGAAAGGATGGAGGGAATGACACTTTCCAAATAATTGAACGGGTATCTGTGTCAGCATTCTGATGCTGCCATAAAAAGACGAGGCTTGACTTTTCACCTACTTATTTTCTCTGTAGATAATATCCCCTAGGAGATGGGATGGGAGGGGGGAACATTCCTGTGGGGTGAGGTCAGAAGCTGGGGAGACTGACTTGGAAGATGGCCAACGAGAAGATGAGAATTGGGGAACGGAAAGGGAAGAGTTTGGGGGTCAGAGGGTTAGTATCAGCTACGACGAAGTCGGGGCCAGATCTGTCATACTCAATAAATAGAATATTTCAGCAAAGATTAATTGTTTGGGAGTGCAATTTATTTGAGATGACATCGAAACGTGACAATCTGTTTGTTCCAGACATTCTGGGTTGCTAGTAGAAAGTGCCTTAGTGTTGTGGCCTGTTGGCTCCTCCAGCAGCCAAATCAGAAGAGGAGGTGGCTTGGTAGTCAGAGTCAGCATCAAGGCAACCTGAGAGCTCTGAGGGGGAAGAGGGAATGGAGCTGGCAGAGAGAGAGACAGAGGCGGAGCCTGGGCCGTCCGTCAGCCCTCAGATGGAGAGTCAACAGCCCCCAGGTCTGGAGGTGGCTGATGAGGAAGAGGAGGAACGTCTGGGTCCAGTGCCTGACGCACAGATGTGCAGAAGGCAGAGGAGAGGAGAGCAGTGGAAATCTATGGGCCGGTCCTTGGGACGGAATTGCCACGGCTGCTAGCGAAGCCCCATTCTAGCTCTGGGGATAAAAGGCAAGGGGCGGAGGTGAATAGATGCGGCAAACAGCTATTCATCTCCCTGCCGGACAGACTTGTTAGCCTGCGGTGAGAGAGAAACTTTTTGCCGGGGCTGCTGGCGCTCCTAATAAAGGAACTTTGAGTTAACTTCAGAGGGTTTGTCATGTTTGGGGAGCTGGGTCAGGACACCTGTCCAATATTTTTGCTGATTCTGATCTCTGTCCGCTCTTGGTTACTTTTTTAGACAGGGCTGCCCTTGTGCAGAAGCCATACAACGGCTACATGAGACTGACAGGCAAACGGTTCATCGATGCCTATGAGAATTCCACCTCTCCTGAATTTGCCGCCTTAGCAAAGAATGCAAAGATGATGGTAAGAATTGAAAGCTGTACGAGCAACGGCAGCAGCGGATTCTCTGCCTTGGATATCATGGGCTCGATTAAAGCAGCTTCTCACCCCTTATTGATTCTGGCTGTATTGCAGTTATAATTCCCAGAATTCCCTAGCTGCAAGGAATTCTTGGGAGTTATAAGCCCAGTATATTTAAGGAAGGCTGAAGTCAACAATCGTCCTGCACGGAGGCATCTTCTGCTGATGTCTACCCAGTGTTACGGATAGTCCTTGCCAGTGGTGAAATCTAAAATTTGTTATTACCGGTTCCGTGGGCGTGGCTTGGGGGGGTAATGTGACCAGGTGGGTGTGGCCAATTTTTTTTACTTTTAAAACCACTTTTTCTACAACCTCTTCGGCAAAGAGGTTGTAAAAAAATGCTTTCAAAAGGCTCCGACGATCCCAGCTGAGTTGCCTGATCGGCAGAAGCTTTTTTTTTCTTTTAAATGCCTCTGATGATCAGGCAACTCAGCTTGGATGGTCAGAGGCATTTAAAAGAAAAAAAGCCTCTACTGATCAGGCAACTCAGCTGGGATCTTTGATGATCCCAGCTGAGCCGCGCGATCATCAGAGGCTTTTTTTTAAAAGCTTTTTTTCGGCCGAAGAGGTTGTAGAAAAAATGCTTTTAAAAGTAAAAAAAAAAGCCTCTGAAGATTGTGCGGCTCAGTTGGGCATGGGGGGGGGGAATTTTTGCTATCGGTTCTCTGAACCACCCACCTCCATTGCTACTGGATCGGGCGATCCGGTCTGAACCAGGAGCATTTCACCCCTGGTCCTTGCTCACCAACCATAATTGCATCCTGGAACTCCGTCTCTAAGTGACATGGTTGTAAGGCGCAACTTCATGTGACTGCCAACCTATGAAGGCAGTTCCAGCAGTCCCAGTTGCCGCCATTAAGTGAATATCGTATGGTTGCAGCATCTTACAGTCAACGTGATTACCATTTGCGACTTCCCGCTGGCTGCCCCAATGCCTTTGGTGGTTGGAAGACGGACGTCGTCACAAATGAGGATTATGTGATGTCGGGACACTGTAGTGTTGTCATTGCAAGCCAGTTTACTGGGGACCTGAATTGCAATCACATGAGCGTGGAGATGCTGCAATGGTTACAACTGTGAGGATCTCTCACGTCCTGCTTCTACAACACCGGCGTAATTTAAAATGGTCACTGAACAAGAAGTTGTTGTTCAGTGAGGAGTAACCAGTATGGGAATAGTTCTCTAGAGTCTTGAGCAGAGAAAAGCTTTGCTAAGTGATCTCTTTGTCCAGCCTTGTAGCAAACTCTGTGTTCAAATGTTTGTTCAGTTCTGCCTTGATTCTGCACTTTAAGGCTTAGTTCTTCCTTGATCTTCAGGTACTGCAACAGATGGTAAAGCATTATAGTTACCTGGTAGAGTTCCTACATGACACAAATCATATAATGTGGTTTATTGGACTTGAGTTTAGCATGTTGACATGGATTCAGCCATCCCAATTTATAAGCCATTTTAGTATTCTGAATGACTGTAGTCCAATCCCACAGTTTGTTCAGTAGATCCTAGCTAAGACAAAGACTGTTAACAAAGGGATTGATGATCTTGTAATAAAGCGAAGAAGCTAAAACTCCAACAGACAAATAAGTAAGACCTTGACAAATAATAGTACAGGGTGTGAGAAAAATGATCCCTGAAACAGGCTGATTTTAAAGCTGAATTTAATAGAAATGTACATACTTGTATATACATATCATATACTTGTTCTCAATGCAGCCTTTTTTTTTTCTTTAGCTCTTGGACATCTATGCAAAGAATTTGGATGTTGGTCCATTCCACAATGATTCAGATATACTAGCATTCAGGTGCGTAACTCCTAAAACTTCAGAGCAGTTTGGTCTAATGGTTATGACATAAACTAGAAACCAGGGAACTATGAGTTCTAGTTTCTATTTAGGAATGAAAGGAGGCTGGGTACTTTTGGCCAATCTCCAGGAGACTGTGAGTTCTAGTCCTGCCTTAAGCACGAAAGATGGCTGAGTGAATTTGGGCCGTTTGCTAGGAGACTGTGAGTTCTAGTTTTGCCTTAGGCATGAAAGCCCCAGCTGGGTGACTTGGGCTGTTCACTAGGAGACTGTGAGTTCTAGTGCTGTCTCAGCCACGAAAGCCAGTTGGGTGACTTTGGGTCATTCACTAGGAGACTGTGAGTTCTAGTCCCGCCTTAAACACAAAAGATGGCTGAGTGAATTTGGGCCAATCACTAGGAGACTGTGAGTTCTAGTTTTGCCTTAGGCATGAAAGCCCCAGCTGGGTGACTTGGGCTGTTCACTAGGAGACTGTGAGTTCTAGTGCTGTCTCAGCAATGAAAGCCAGTTGGGTGACTTTGGGCCGTTCACTAGGAGACTGTGAATTCTAGTGCTGTCTCAGCCATGAAAGCCAACTGGGTGGCTTTGGACCAATCACTTTCTCTCAGCCCAATCACCTCACAGGGTTGCTGTTCTGGGAAAAAACAGGAGGAGGAAGGTGTCTTAGATATGTTCACTGATCTTAAAGTTGCCAAGTTTGAAAAATATTGTTTTGGACTTTGAAGTTATTGATCATAGTAGAATGTCCTGCTACCACTAGACATCTTGTTTTTTGCAGCCCTAATTATTTAGGCTGGGTGCTAACCTATCTGTCTTTCCCTCCCCCTTCACACAGTGAGGGCAGTGTGATTGCTTACTTCTTATCCACATTCAGTGTTCCTAAATACAAAATGGATGTTCTTGATAACGCCATGGCAAATTTCCAGAATTTAAAACTAACGGGAACAGGAAAAGCGCGGAAGCCAGAATTTCAAGTTGTCTCTCTCACAGCTTTTCGTAAGTCTCTTTTTCTTTTTGTTCTCTTTCCACATAAATTCCCTCATCTGCCTAGCTTAGGGGTGTATTTGCACTAGTCAACAGGAAAAATTGAATTTTAAAGGTAAAGGTTCCCCTCGCACATATGTGCTAGTCGTTCCCGACTCTAGAGGGCGGGCTCTCTGTTTCAAAGCCGAAGAGCCAGCGCTGTCCGAAGACGTCTCCGTGGTCATGTGGCCGGCATGACTCAACGCCAAAGGCGCACGGAACGCTGTTACCTTCCCACCAAAGGTGGTCCCTATTTTTCTACTTGCATTTTTTAGGTGCTTTCGAACTGCTAGGTTGGCAGAAGCTGGGACAAGTAACGGGAGCCCGCCCCATTACGCAGCACTAGGGATTCGAACTGTTGAACTGCCGACCTTTCTGATCGACAAGCTCTGTGTCTTAGCCAGTGAGCCACCAAGTCAGGCAAAACAATTGTGTGGATGATTATGAATTCAGGTCATCTCCGATTGCCCTATGTTTGAAGGTACAAAGTTAAATTCCTCGTTATAAAAGTTTTGTGTTTTTTTTTAACTTGTAGCTTCTGATGAGGATATCGTTAAAGCACCCCGAGACAGTAAGTAAAATTTTGGGGTTTTTTATTTTGCGGTTGTTTTTAATTGTGGTAATAATAAATTATGGGATCTTTGAATAATTGGAGATTGTGTGGAGGTAGAATGGAATATTGCTCTCTGGAGGGAAAAAAAACATATTGAAGTTGCAATCCTATCATCACTTATGTGGGATAAACAGTGTTGAACTCAGTTGGACATAGAACAACAGAGTTGGAAGGGACTTGAAGGTCATGTAGTCCAACCTCCTGCTCCAATAGGAGACCCTATACCCATGATGGCGAACCTATGGCACGTGTGCCACATGTGGCACATGTAGCCATATCCGTGGGCATGCTGATTTTCGGGCCTTCTGGGCCCACCAGAAGTAGGGAAACAGGCTGTTTCCTGCCTCCAGAGGGCCTCAGGGGTGGTGGGGAAGGCCCATTTTTCTCTCTCCCCAGCCTCCAGAGTCTTCTAGAGACTGAATGGTAGCAAACGGGCCATTTTCGGCCTCCGAGGGTGTGTTTGGGGAACGCTGTTTTTGCCCTCCCCAGACTCCTAGAATGGCTCTGGAGGTTGGGGAAAGCAAAAAACGGGCCTTCCGGTCCCACCAGAAGTTGACAAATGGGTCTTTTTCGGCCTCCGGAGGGGCTCCGGGGGCTAGTGGGGAAGGCCGTTTTTGCCCTCCCCAGACTCCTAGAAAGGCTCTGGAGGCTGGGGAGAGCAAAAGACGAGCCTACCGTGCCATCGTGTGTCAGGAGCATGGGGGGGGAGGGTCGCACTCGCACGCATGGGGGCAGGGGGGATAGAATTATGGGTATGGGCACGCATGCGCGCAACCCCCCCCCGCTTCTGGCACGCGATGGCAAAAAGGTTAGTCATCATTGCCCTATACCATTTCAGACAAATGGCTGTCCAATCTTTTCTTGAAAGCCTCCAGTAATGGGGTACCCATAACTTCTGGAGGCAAAGTATATATTGTTTTCACCGTTAGAAAATGTCTCCTTATTTCTAGGTTACTTTTCTCCTTGGTTAGTTTCCATCTTAAACTTGGACTTAGAATAACTTTATTGTCACGTCAAATGTAGACTAATCGGCATGCATTAAAATGAAATTTCGTTGCGTACCGCTCTCTGCTGAATAGACAAGCATTCAAAAAGTTATTACAAAATGTGAACGAAAGCATTGGGACAGGAACCAAAAACTGTTGCAAAAAGGACTAAGATGGAAGAATTGCTTAAAATATTGTCTTGACACATTCGAAGCACCAATAAAGGAAAATATTTGTAGCTCAGGGTTGACATGCTGGCTCCTTGGTGCTCTCTGAGGTTGCTTTTTTTCCCTTGAAGATGTTTCATTAGCCAAACTAGGTAACACAATCGGTGCTAGAAGGGAATGGAGATTGCGGAATGGAGAAGGAGGGGAGAGGAGAGGAGGAGGGAAAGGAGGCGGCTGAGGCTTAAGGCGTCCTTGGTGCTCCCTGAGCTTGCTTGTTTTCTTGCAAACGTTTCAATACCCAATTAGGTAACATCATCAGTGCTAGTAAGGAGTGTGGTTTGTACATTAGAAGCAAGATGTTGACTGAGACACCCCCCCCATACACACACATACACACACACGCTAATCTTGTATTTTGCTAATATATGCAAGATTTCAATCTTGCATATATGGGTTTTTTCCTTTTTGCTTCTGAAAAGGTGTTTTCCAACGTATTTACCTACATTTTTGGTTAGTTTCTATCTGCTGAGTAGACAAGCATTCAAAAAGTTGTTACAAAATGTGAACGAAAGCATCGGGATTAGAACCAAAAACTGTTGGAAAAAGGACCAAGATGGAAGAATTACTTAAAATATTTACTTGAAACTGGACACATTTAGAAGCATCAATAAAGGAGAATATTTGTAGCTCAGGGTTGAAATGAGGGCGTCCTTGGTGCTCTCTGAGCTTGCTTGTCTCGGATCATAGATATTTCTGCTATCTGGAAGGAATATACGTAGACACATTCTGTAATCTGGAAGGGTTTTCTGTAATCTGGGTCTTTCTGTAATCTGGAAGGGTTTCCTACCTGAGCAGGGGGTTGGACTAGATGTCCCTTCCAACTCTGTGATTCTGATTCTGCCCTTCCACGAAATTGCAATGTTAGTACTGTATCCCAGGAAGGTTTTTCTTTCTTTTTTCTTTCATTTTCTGGCCTGGTTCTTAGCAAACAAAACATGTGTCTCTATGCTGTCAACAGTTTAGGATAATGTATACGCCCTTCTTTTTGTGAGTTCTTTGTTGCTAAAACTGTTGTCAAGATTTGACAGCCATATTCATTATACGTGACATTGTAATCTCTCCAAGAAATATATAGCTCTTCACCCAACCAGCCAAGGAACATGACATTTTGTCTAGGCAGGCCTTAAAATCACTTCAAGTACACATTCCTTCCTTTGTTTATTTGTTGTAACCATTTAGAGTGCAGTACTGCAGGCTACTTCTGCTGACTGCCAACTGCCTGCAATTTGGCAGTTCGAATCTCACCAGGCTCAAGGTTGACTCAGCCTTCCATCCTTCCAAGGTTGGTAAAATGAGGACTCAGATTGTTGGGGGCAAGAGGCTGATTCTTTTTTTTTTTTAATTGAAAAGTTTTATAGGAAATACAAACATTTTCTTCCCCCCTCACCCCATCCCTCCCCCCTTGCCCTCCCACCCATCCTTTCCCCCTCCCCCTTTCCCCACCCCCGTCCCTAGACTTCCCAGAACAAGCACAGGGTATAGCATTCACAAACATAAAACTAAAATATGCTAACAAATTACTGACTTCAAATTTTCTCTAGGTCTTTTAACTCCTTATAGGTCAAAACCCTATAAACATAAACTAAAGATTGAAAATGTTTTATTCATAAGCTATATGAATCTTCTTAGTCTGATACTTGTTTTGAATATAGTTGATCCATCTTCTCCATTCCGATATGTATCTTTCGTTTGAATGGTCTTTAAGATATGATGAAATTTTTGCCATCTCTGCCAAATGCACGACTTTTAGTGTCCATTCCTCAATAGTAGGTGGATCTTCCTTCTTCCAATACTGTGCCACCAGTAACCTGGCAGCTGTTATTAAATTCAAAACCAACTTAATCTCTATTTCAGTACAATCCGTAACTATTCCTAACGAAGAGGCTGATTCTGTAAACCACATAGAGAGGGCTGCAAAAGCACTGTGAAGCAGTATATAAGTCTAAGCAGTATCGCTATTGCTAAGTGCTATTGTCCATCTCTTACATCTTTTGGATCCTTCCAGTTTTAATTTGCCCATTTGATTTTTTTTTCTTTTTTTACTGAATCAGAGTAAATCCTTCTTGCCATTCTCTTGAGAGCTTTCTTTTCTGGTGTTGTTTCTCTCACCTGAATTAGACAGCTGCAAATATGCGTTGCACGCCAAAGAAGGGAAAGTGACCAGCTTTACCACGCCAGGATTCCCAAACAGCCCTTACCCGTCCAACATGCGCTGCTTCTGGGTGCTGAGAGCTGACGCCAACTCGGTCATTAGCCTGACCTTCACTACGTTTGACGTTGAGGAATGCGACCAAGGGGAGGACTTTGTCAAGGTGTACAACTCATTGAGCCCCGTGGAAGAACGCGCGTTGGTGAAGTAAGTACATACATTTATTTATTTATTTATTTATTTATTTATTTATTTATTTATTTATTTATTTATTTATTTATTTATTTATTTATTTATTTATTTTATTGGATTTCTATACCGCCCTACTCCCGAAGGACTCAGGGCGGTGAACAGCCATAAGATAAAACACATAAATACAAACATTTAAAATAGAATAAAAACGAATTAAATAATTTGGCTGAAACAAATTTAAAAAATTTGTACATTGGCTACAGCATGACATGCTCTCTTCGGGAGAAACACGAATGGGCTGCTGGGCGCATAATTGGCAGCAGCCTGAGATAGACTTCAGTTTTCATGGCGTCTTCTGGGTTGCACTGTTACTGATACCTATTCTGATGGGGAAAGAGTTTGCCAAATATGCATTGCTTAGTCACTAATCGTCCTTCCTTCTCTTCCTTCTCCTTCTCCTTCTCCTTCTCCTTCTCCTTCTCCTTCTCCTTCTCCTTCTCCTTCTCCTTCTCCTTCTCCTTCTCCTTCTCCTCCTCCTCCTCCTCCTCCCCCTCCTCCTTCTCCTCCAAATTTTCCTCCAACTTCCTCCTTTACCTTCTCCTCCAATTTCCTCCTTCACCTTCTTCTCCTCCTTCTCCTTCTCCTTCTCCTCCTCCTCCTCCTTCTCCTCCTTCTCCTCCCCCTCCCCCTCCTCCTCCTCCAAATTTTCCTCCAACTTCCTCCTTCACCTTCTCCTCCAACTTCCTCCTTCACCTTCTTCTCCTTCTCCTCCTCCTTCTCCTCCTCCTCCTTCTCCTTCTCCTCCTTCTCCTCCAAATTTTCCTTCAACTTCCAACTTCCTCCTTCACCTTCTCCTCCTCCTTCTCCTCCAAATTTTCCTCCAACTTCCAACTTCCTCCTTCACCTTCTCCTCCAACTTCCTCCTTCACCTTCTCCTCCTCCTCCTTCTCCTCCTCCTCCTCCCCTTCTCTTCCTTCTCCTTCTCCTCCTCCTCCTTCTCCTCCTCCTTCTCCTCCTCCTTCTCCTCCAAATTTTCCTCCAACTTCCAACTTCCTCCTTCACCTTCTCCTCCAACTTCCTCCTTTACCTTCTCCTTTCCCTCCCTTTCCCTCCTTCCCAGGCTGTGCGGGAGCTTTGACTTTTCATACAACCTGACTTTCGTCTCCTCTCAAAACGTCCTCCTGGTTATGTTAAGTACAGACGCAAAGGGAAGATTTCCTGGGTTCAAAGCAGAATTCTCCCAGATGTCAAAGATGACATGTAAGAACGTCATTCTTTCTATTTTGGGGTGATACTAGGAGATCATGGGTTGGCAGATGCGGCCTGACAATAAATTCAGTACTATTGCTCCTTTTCCTGACAGTTTTCTCCTTAAGAGAGAGGGAAGAAGACATGAGAAAGATATGGGCCAGAAGCCCAAGAAAAAAGGATGATGTTAGCAGCCATTTTTGACCCTGATTTATCCTCACTTCCTTCAAAGAATAGGAGGCATTCCCCACCATTGTACACATTATTAAGTCATTCATGCAGGAAAAAAGTTTGCTTCTAATTAAGAAAAGGATCCAGTCTAGTAGAAGATAAAGATGAGTGAAAACTGAACAGGCTAGAGAGGGAGAAAGTCTTAAGGATAATAAGACACCAGGGGCAAAGTTATTTTTCCCCTCACTCAGGAGATGTTGTGATAAATTACACCCTCTCCAACCCCCACTCCCCCTACACGCACACTTCCGGATACGCTAATAACGCTTCCTAATGAGAACTGGGTTGAAATTGGACGGGGCTGAGCTGATGGACGGGTGTGTACAGGTAACCATAATTAGTCTCCTGGGTTATTTATCCAAGCTTTTGAATCAGTCCCTTAGCAATGGACGTCATCTTATTAATGGCTCTTCTGCACAGATGCCTCTCTTCCGGCCACCAATAAGGCTCATAAGATTCTGTTTTCTCCTTCCACACCTGTTCTTCCCACCCCTCACCCCGATTGCAGCTTGTGGTGGAGTTTTGAAGGGCGTATCCGGGAACTTCACCACTCCGTATTATCCAGCCTACTACCCTCCAAATCTGGATTGCGTATGGAATATAGAGGTAAGAATTTCAGAGTACTAATTCTCTCTTTCTTTCGGGGCCTGCAGTATGGACTAAGGGAGAGCGTTTGTAACCTGCCGATCTGGCTAATTATCAAGGTGTTAAATAATGAGTTTGAAAGGCCTTTTCTGGGATGTATTCTTTTTTAAAAAATTCTTAATATATTTTTTTATTATTTTTTTTAAAAAATATACATCCGTATTGTGTGTGAACAGAATTGGTTCTGAGTATCAATCGTATTAGTCCAGTTCATAATAACGGTATTAGTAATCTCTCTCCCATTTATCAAATTTAAGTAATCCTCATTATATTGTTCAAACATAATATGAAATTATTATTAATTTCATTAATTAATAATGAAATAAGTACATAAACAAGAAATGCCTAACTCATCATCTTTATCTCTATCTTCATCTACATCTTTCTTGTTCAGTCTAGACATTTCTCTATTATATATAAACAAATTTGACTAGGTATCATTCATATTGACCAGGGGTGAAATCCAGCAGGTTCTGACAGGTTCTGGAGAACTGGTAGCGGAAATTTTGAATAGTTCGGAGAACCGGCAAATACCACCTCTGGCTGGTCCCAGAGTGGGGTGGGAATGGAGATTTTGCAGTATCCTTCCCCCAGGAGTGGGGAGGGAATGGAGATTTTGTAGTATCTTTCCCCTGCCACGCCCACCAAGCCACACCACGCCCACCAAGCCATGCCCACAGAACTGGTAGTAAAAAAAATTGGATTTCACCACTGATATTGGCCAAACTCACTCTAACATTGTTAATAGCCTCTATTGCATTTATCAGTTTTATATAATCCTCATTATATGTCTAATGTCATCTGTTCTCCTCTTTTGTGCTTGACTTCTTATCCATTTTTTTTAATTAATCCAATTCATGCTTAAAAGTCTGAAAACAAAAAAATCATGTCAGCTCAACAATGCAGGGTGTGGTGGAGATCCAAACCTTTCTTTTTTTATCGTTACTATTTTAATAAGTGCATTTCTAACTCTCAAGATGATTTTATGTGGCTTTTTTAAAAAAAAGAATCCATGATAATGAAGCAAGGGAACCATTGGTAGAGTCCACTCAGGATGCACTAAACCAGGGGTCAGCAACCTGCGGCTCTGGAGCCGCATGTGGCTCTTTCACTCCTCTGGTGCGGCTCCCTGTCACTCAAAATATGCGTCACAACCACCAATGTGCGACATCCACAGGCATGTGATTTATTGAGCTTTTCAACCCCCGGTAGGCCAACCATGGATAAATCCAAGAAAAGAAAAGTTTCAGAAGAAAAACAGAATGTTTGATTCAACTACATATGCTAGTTTTGTGGTCGCTCAAGAAATAGTCAGGCACAAGAAGGGTTTTGTGGCTCCCGGTGTTTTCTTTTCTGTGGGAAACGAGTCCAAATGGCTCTTTGAGTGTTTAAGGTTGCAGACCCCTGCACTAAACCATGGGTTTTGGGTTTAATATAACGTATGAACTGATCTCAACTGGCTTAGTCAACCAACGTGGCCAAACTAAACCATGATTTAATGCAGCAGGTGACCCCAACTGAGTTTCGTGTATGTGGATTCACATTCAAAAAATTTTATTTATTGACTGCATCTATACCATGCTCTTCCTTTTGAAATTAATACAGTTCAGACGATGGTATCTCCTAATTTGTTATCAACTGAACCTTGAAACAATGTAGGTTTAGCGTGATCAGGTCATAGTCATTCAATGAGCTCTTCGTTGACCATCTTGTCCAAACCCTAAACCAGGGGTCTCCAACCTTGGCAACTTTAAGACTTGTGGACTTTAACTCCCAGAATTCCTCAGCCAGCTTTGCTGAATTCTGGGAGTTGAAGTCCACAAGTCTTAAAGTTGCCAAGGTTGGAGACCCCTGCCCTAAACTATTGTCCTTTATTGACCCTGTAGCATAATGGTTGCATGAATTAAGTCTTCTTCTTCTCACACAGAAACATCAATGGGCTCAAGTTCTATTTTCAGATTTCACATAGACACATGACTGTCCTTTATGACGAAAAGAGTGATCCAGGGTGATCTAGATCAGGGGTGTCAAATTCAAGGCCCTCGGGCTGGATCCAGCTCACAGGGTGCTTAGATCTGGCATACGGGGCCGGCCTGGAAATAGCAAAGGACTGGCCCATAGTGCCTCTGGCAGCTAAAATGGAGCAGACCCAGGTCCCCACATGCCCCGTTTTGGCTGACAAAGGGCTGCAAGTGGCCATCCAGACCGAAAACGGGGAATGGATGGCTGCATGCAGCCCTACCATGCCCCATTTTGGCCAGCAGGAGGCATCTGTCCTGTCTCCCAACTCTCCACCAGCCAGTCCATGGAGGAAAACTACAATGCTGATCCGGCTTTTGAAGAAATCCAGTTTGACACTCCTGATCTAGATTACTAGAGTTCTTCATATGTTCAGTTAGGCAACAGGATTATTTAAAACATTTCTAGTTGCCAAACGCCATGCATTTATCTTCCTTGGATTAAAAATTGTGACATTTCTATTCCAAAAATCAAATGCAGGATAACCTCAGGCCGCGCTTCCATGGTTAACATGAATAAGATCTGGAAAAGCAGAGATATTGATATAAATACACAAAGCAGGTTAGTTAAGGCAATAGTCTTCCCTATATTGATGTATGAGTGTCAGACTTGGACACTAAGAATGGCTGATCAAAGAAGAATTGACATCTTTGAAGTGTGGTGCTGTTGTAAATGTTGCTCTACCATGGACAGGCAGAGCAACCAGCAAGAGAATTCTATAAAACCAGACATATCACTAGAAGCCAAAAATCACAAGTCTATGTCTGATTTATTTTGGCTATGTCACGTGTGCAAATTCATTGGAGAAGTCAATGAGGCTAGGAATGGTCAATGGAGCAAGAAGACAGGGCCAGCAAAGAACACACTGGCTTGATCCCATCAAAACTGATACAACGATGAACATCCAACAACTGAAAAGAAGTTGTGATTGACGGGGTAGCATGGAGAGCACTTGCCTATAAAGTCACTAAGAGTTGGACACAACTGAATGGTTAAATCAACAACAACAGTGTCAGGTTTTGAGGTCGTCTCAAATAAATTGCATTTCAAACAAAGTCTTTGAAGGAAAACTCCTATTTATTAAGCACGGCATTCTAAATCCGACTCTATCGAAGCCAACACTGACTTCCAGACCCAAAACCCTCCCTTTCCATTCCCCACTCCCCTGCACTCATTGGCCAGCTTCCAAGTCATTCTACCCTAATCTACTGCTCCAGCTCAAAGGAATTTCCCCCCTCCCATCCCATCTCCTAGGGGATATTATCTCCAGGGAAAATAAGTAGGTGAAAAGTCAAATGTCCCTTTCCAGATGCCTCCACTTCTCCTTCTTATGTCAGCACTAGAGTAAATGCAGCTTGAAGTGCTGACATACAGTTGCCGACGTTTTTTCAGAAAATGTTGGAAAAGACATCTAGCTTGGGAGTGGTATTGGTGTTTATTTCTTCTCATCTCTGCCCGCCCCTGCCAACTTTCAATCTCATTTTCAGGTGCCTAGCGACAAAAATGTAAAGGTACGCTTCAACGAATTCCATCTTGAGAATCTTGATAACTCCAACTCCTGCCTCAAAGATTATGTGGAAATCAACGGTGTCAAGTAAGAGACATTATTCATTGGTGAACCTGTATTGCCAGTTCTTGTGTATCTGTTGCGACTGGGCAAGAAGAAAACTGTCTTAGCCACTTGATGTCTTTAAGGCCCTTCCTTGCCATCTTTTAGGATAGAAATACCATAAATGAAAAGTCCTTGCTTGATAAAAAAAACAAATGTTTCTCTAGTACTGTGAGACGATCTGATTAGCTTTCCATTTTGAAAGGAAAGCATGAGAAGACTTTGTCATTTTATTGCATGTGTGTGTTTGTGTTGGGTGAAATGCTCTGAAGTCTACTACTGTTTTGCTTTGTGTGTGCCAAACACATGATTTGCATGCGCACCGCAGGCGCTACCGTGCAGCTCTGAAAAAGGAGAATTAAGAAGCCTTTTCTGAGTCTGCAAAGGTAAGTAGAACAGTGTGGGGGGACCACAGCTGTGTCACGCGATTTAGATTTTTCTAGAAAGCAGAATTTCCTGCTTTCTAGCGAACATAAATCATGCCGAGCTGCAGCAGTGGTTAGAGTGCAGTACTGCAGCTACTTCAGCTGACTGCTAGTTCAGCAGATCAAATCTCACCGGCTCAAGGTTGACTCAGCCTTCCATCCTTCCGAGGTGGGTAAAATGAGGACCCAGATTGTTAGGGGGCAATATGCTATTTAGTATACTGTCTTTGGTGTAAACCGCCCAGAGTCCTTGGAGAGTGGGCGGCATAGAAATATGACTAATAAAAATAAAATAATAAAAATAAATGCAGCACAGCTGATCGTCGGAAATGCCAGTTTGCCCGAACTGGTAGCACTTTTTTTATTACCGGTTTTCCCGAACCGGTAGAATTTTTTTACTACCAGTTAGCCCAAACTGGTCCGAACTGGTAGCATTTCATCCCTAGGGTATGTGTGTGTGAGAGAGTGATCTCATGTATTCATTGATGCATCTATTCCTGAACGAATGAACGAATGAACAAACGAATGAATGAGCCGGCCTCTGTTTGATTTTTATCTTCTTGTGCTCCTTTAGGTATTGTCAGTTCAGCAAGGGATTTGTGGTAATGAGTAAAACCAACAAAATTACAGTTCGTTTCCACTCAGATAATTCACACGTGGACAATGGCTTCTGGGCAGAGTACTTGTCCTTTGACTCCAATGACCGTAAGTAGAGATGTCAAATGTGAGATTAATCAGGGAGGGAAGTGGTGGGATGAGGCACCTTCTCAGTCAGGAAAGGTTGAAACATTGAGACTTTTTGATAGAGAAGTCCTCTATGGGAGAGAGGAAAGTCCTTCCTTGATATGAAGTATCCTATAGAGCAGTGGTTCCTAACCATTTTGGGTCCATGGACCGGCAATGGCGGTGGGGGGCAGGGGATGGTTGCCTAATCCCATGCATGCACAAATAAAGCTTCACCATGCTCACCCACAACACTATGGCAAAATAAGACTTTCCTCAGAGCAGAATTGCAAATATCCCATCCAGAATGGCAGCGGAACGTTGATGCTTTCACCTACCCTGTTTCCCCAAAAATAAGACCCAACCGGAAAATAAGCCTTAGCATTATTTTTTTCAGAATGCTCGTAATATAAGACCAACCCCCAAAATAAGCCCCAGTTAAGATTGTCAGCAGATGGAGGCATTTATTCTGTAAAGATAAAGGTTTCCATCGCACGTATGTGCTAGTCGTTCCTGACTCTAAGGGGCAGTGCTCATCTCCGTTTCAAAGCCAAAGAGCCAGCGCTGTCTGAAGACGTCTCCATGGTCATGTGGCCGGCATGACTAAATGCCAAAAGCACATGGAACGCTGTTACCTTCCCACCAAAGGTGGTCCCTATTTTTCTACTTGCATTTTTTACGTGCTTTCGAACTGCTAGGTTGGCAGAAGCTGGGACAAGTAACGGGAGTTCACCCCATTACGTGGCGTGACGGATTCGAACTGAACTGCCGACTTTTTGACAACAAGCTCAACGTCTTAGTCATTGAGCCACCGCATCCCTTCTTTAGTACTGTATTTTCCCCAAAATAAGACCTAACCGGAAAATAAGCCATAATGTGTCTTTTGGAGCAAAAATTAATATAAGACCCAGTCTTATTTTGGGGGAAACACCAGGGGTGAAATGCTCCCGGTTCGGACCGGATCATTCGATCCAGTAGCGATGGGGGCGGGTGGTTCGGAGAACCGGTAGCAAAAATCCCTGCCCCCCCTCATGTCCAGCTGAGCCGCACAATCATCAGAGGCTTTTATTTTTTACTTTTAAAAGCATTTTTTCTACAACCTCTTCAGCCGAAAAAATGCTTTAAAAAAAAAGCCTCTGATGATCGCGCGGCTCAGCTGGAATCGTCAAAGATCCCAACTGAGTTGCCTGATTGTCAGAGGCTTTTTTTCTTTTAAAACCCTCTGAAAATCCAAGCTGAGTTGCCTGATCGTCAGAGGCATTTAAAAGAAAAAAAGTCTCTGCCGATCAGGCAACTCAGCTGGGATCATCAGAGCCTTTTGAAAGCATTTTTTTACATCCTCTTCGCCGAAGAGGTTGTAGAAAAAATGGTTTTAAAAGTTAAAAAAAAAAGGCCACCCCCACCCAGTCACATTACCCCCACCACCACCAAGCCACACCCACAGAACCGGTAGTAACAAATTTTAGATTTCACCCCTGGGAAACACGGTATGTGGAATATTAATGTATTTATATGTTTTCTCTCCCCGTCCTCTTTGTTGACTTGCAGCTTGCCCAGGGAAATTCACCTGCAAAAGTGGCCGTTGTATCAAAAGAGAACTGCGCTGCGATGGGTGGCTTGACTGTCCAGATGGCAGCGATGAGAGAGATTGCAGTAAGTTCTCCTTTTTAGCTCTGTTCGGCGGTGTGGACGATGCTCGTAAGGCTTGTTTACCCTTTTTCAGTGGGCTGCGCCGCCCACAGTGTTCAAAGCTGTTAGTGGCCTTTCCATAACTGCACTGCTTGTTGTCGTCTTCTTCAGATTGCACTGAGAATCAATTCCGATGCCACAATAATTGGTGCAAGCCAAAATACTGGCTTTGTGACACGGTGGATGACTGTGGGGACAACAGTGATGAACTGCAGTGCGGTGAGTCATTTTTATGAGTTGGAGAAATCTTGTGCATGAAGAACCGAGTTCACACTTTGGACCGCTCTTAGTATGAACTCGGACAGTGTTTCTCAACCTTGGTAGCTTGAAGATGGGTCGACTTCAACTCCCAGAATCCCAGGGAATGATTAGGGGACTGGAGGCTAAAACATAGAAAGAACGGTTGCAGGAACTGGGTATGTCTAGCTTAATGAAAAGAAGGACTAGGGGAGACATGATAGCAGTGTTCCAATATCTCAGGGGCTGCCACAAAGAAGAGGGAGTGAAGCTATTCTCCAAAACACCTGAGGACAGAACAAGAAGCAATGGGTGGAAACTAATCAAGGAGAGAAGCAACTTAGAACTAAGGAGAAATTTCCTGGCAGTTAGAACAATTAATCAGTGGAACGACTTGCCTCCAGAGGTTGTGAATGCTCCAACACTGGAACTTTTAAAGATGATGTTGGATAACCATTTCTCTGAAGTGGTGTAGGGTTTCCTGCCTAAACAGGGGATTGAACTAGAAGACCTCCAAGGTCCCTTCCAATTCTGTTATTCTATTCTATTTTGGATGGAGTCTGGCAAAAATCAGCTCCAGTGTTGAAGAAAAGCTACCATGACAGATAGTGGCTGGTGAGAATGACTTCTTCTCTAGCAATGGAAACTTACAATTTCTTTTTTCCTTCTCAGAATGTCCTCCTAATAGCTTCAAGTGCAATAACGGCAATTGCATCCCAGGGCAGCAGAAATGCGACGGAAAAGCAGATTGTGAAGATGGCAGCGACGAGGGGGAGTGTGGCTCCGGTAAAGGCACTAGAGTGGTGATAAACGTTGACCAAGGGAGGGGGAAGCTATGAAAATTGTGGTTTATAAGCAGGGATGATTTGGGTATGTCTAGTTTGATGAAGCTGGAATTGGGTATGTCTAGTTAGATAAAATGAAGGACCAGGGTTGACATGATAGCAGTGTTCCGATATCTCAGTGGTTGCTACAAAGAAGAGGGAGTCAAGCTATTCTCTAAAGCACCTGAAGGCAGGACAAGAAGCAATGGGTGGAAACTCATCAAGGAGAGAAGCAACCTAGAACTAAGAAGAAATTTCCTGACAGTTAGAACAATTAATCAGTGGAACAACTTGCCTCCAGAAGTTGTGAATGCTCCAACACTGGAAGTTTTTAAGAAGAGACTGAATAACCATTTGTCTGAAGTGGTGTAGGGTTTCCTGCCTAAGCAGGGGGTTGGACTAGAAGACCTCCAAGGTCCCTTCCGACTCTGTTATTCTATTACTATTTCTAAGATAGATGTCTTCTTGTCCATTGCGATCAGGACTTGGGGAACAGTGGAGATGAGGGGAAACTGAGGTCCCCAGGATGAGTTCATACCACTGCTTTCCTTATGAAGAAGAGGTTAGCCCATGGTTCAAACAGTTAAACCCCTTCAGAATTGGGGGAAGGACCCTAACATACTTGCTATTTTTCATCTAACCTTCTTTTCTGCTGCTGGATATAAAGATGAAGTCCTAGCAGTAATAGGGTATCTCTAGAGTAGAATAGCGTAGCGTAGCGTAGCGTAGCGTAGAACAGAACAGAACAGAACAGAACAGAACAGAACAGAACAGAACAGAATTCTTTATTGGCCAAGTGTGATTGGACACACAAGGAATTTGTCTTAGGTGTATATGCTCTCAGTATACATAAGGAGAATGAAGTACATTCTTCAAGAATAAAAAGATACAACACTTAGTGATAGTCATATATAACACTTATAACACTTACATATAACACATAGATATAACACTTAGTGATCGTGATACGAACTCAATTTGTCCCTAATTTCCCCACCATTCAGGAGTGGGACATTGGCAGAGAGGAACAAACTGAATAAGCCTTCTTCAACTCTTTGAAGGTATCAACCTTAATCACGGAGTCATTATTTTTCTTTCAACATGTAAATTACAAAAAAAAAAAAAAAGGAAATGACCATCTCCAAGAATGTTTGAAGACTCTAAGCCTCTAAGAGTTGAAGTCTACAAGTCTTCAAGCTGCCAAGTTTGAAGACTCCTGCTCTAAACTCTTCAAAACTGCCCATTCTCAGTTTGACCAGGAATTAGTAATAGATCATTTCTTCTAAGCTAGCACATCAACGTGGCCTGTTCTTTTTCTCTGAAGCTTCTCAACACCATATCGATCCCTGTTTCGAAACGAAGCCAAGATATATATTTTTTATTCTCTCAGACCTTTTCATATGAACTCTGTCCAACCGCCATGGGACTCTTAATTAACCTCGTTTCTGTAGCTTTCGTTTCAATTCCCTACTGGGTAAATCTTTTTTTTAAATGACTTTTAATGGTAGGATTCTGGCATAGTTTGTATCTGAAGCTGTGGTGTTTTTCTTTGGAACTTTCAAGGAAGATTTATGAGCCACCTGACAAATATAAAATATAAGTGTGTGTGTGTTTGTTTCAGGGGTGGGTTTCGAAACCTGTCGCTACCGGTTCGCCCGTGGGCACATAGGCGCTTGTGCGTGCGTGTGATGCTTCTGAGCATGCACAGAAGCGTATGGGCGGGTGGGCGAAGCCTCCCGCCACCGCTGCTACAGGTTCGCCTGATTCGGGGTGAACCGGTATCAACCCACCACTGGTGTGTGTGTGTGTGTGTGTGTATCAGGAGTGGGTTCTACTTACCTTTACTACCGGTTCGCAGCGGGAGCGCACACCCGCTTTTGCGCACGCGCAGAAGCTTCTGCACATGCGCAGATGACCCATGATGATGTCATGGCAGGTGGGCGGAGCCTCCCGCTGGTTTTACTACCGGTTCTATAGAACTGGACAGAACCGGGAGCAACCCACCACTGGTATGTATGTATGTGTGTGTGTGTGTGTGTGTATAGTCTGGAGGGCATTGTGTAATTTTTCTTTAAAAATTCTCTCATGGAAGTAGACATCCTTTCCCACAAGAGAGAGGGCATTCAGAAAAATAGTGTGTTTTGCAGGTAATCCTCTGCTTACAACATTTTGTTTAGTGACTGTTCAAAGTTACAGTGGCAGTGACTTATGAACCATTGTTCACATTTACGACCATTGCAGTCCAATGGTGGGTTCCTCCCGGTTCCGCCCAGTTCCGCCGAGCCGGTAGTGGTGACGATATGACGTCATCGAACTGGTTCTGCCCCCCCGTGTTATTCTTACCTTTTATTTGGCCCCACCCCCAATCTATTGCTGCCTCCCGAGTCTCAGTTGATCAGCTGGAAGGAAAAAAGCTGTTTAAACTCTTCAAAGGGCTGCCCTACAGCTGATCAGTGTTAAAAGGCAGTTGGTGGTAGACCGATGCCTGCAAAAACAAATGGGTAGACCGGTACAGTTCTGCAAGCAGTTAAAAGCCTGGTAGACCAGTACCTCTGCTAAATCCTAAAGAATTGTCACATGACCATCAAGCCACGCCCACAAAATAAACCACGCCCACGAAACCGGTAGTTAAAAAAATTAGAACCCACCCCTGTTGCAGTCACATATGATCAAAATTCAGATGTTCGGCAACTGACTCACATTTATGACTTCTGGGTACGTGTGATCCCCTTTTCAACCTTCCGACAAGCCAGGTCAATGGGGAAGCCAGATTCATTTAACAACCGTGTTACTAACTTAACAACTGCAGTGACTCACTCAACGGCTATGGCCAGAAAGGTCATAAAACGGGGCAGAATTCAGCTGTGGTTGTAATTCGAGGACTGCCTATGCTTCCTTGAAAGGGAATAGCCAGATCCATGGTGTTAACAATGCTGTGGAAAAGATTCAAATAGTTCCAGACTCCATTTTGCATTCCTCGCCTGGGGGACACTCGCCATCCTCCTTTCTTCTTCTTCTTCTTTTGCCATATCCGTCATCGGACATTGGCGATCATGTTGGCAATCCTATTTTTGTCAACAGCCACATGAAAAAGTGCTGCTGAGTTTTGTCCAAACCAGTCCCTTAGGTTTTGAAGCCATGATGTTCTTCTTCGGCCTGGACCTCGTTTGCCTTCAGTCTTTCCTTGGAGGATTAAGTGAAGGATGCCGTATTTTTCTGGGTGTCCCATCGCCTGTCCAAAATATTCTAACTTTCGCTTTTTAAAGGCTTTGATGATTTCCCTTTGCTTTCCCAGGTGTCTTATCACCTCCTCATTTGTGATTTTGTTAATCACAAAGTACCCTTTGAGTTTACGCACGAAAGCGACTGAGAATGATTCTAGATAATAACAGTTCACATACAAACAAACTGGGTTTTGATAATATTTTACTTTTAGGGAAAAAGCAAAATCATAGTCCAAAAACATTCCAAGTCATACACATATAAAGTGAGATAAAGATCAGTCCAGGGATATTTTCCAGTATAAAGTCTTCTTACCAGTTGTAGAAAAATACAATAAAACAGATCTTCTTTAGTTTCATTCAGGAACACAGTTCAGTATAAAAACAGTCAATAAATATTAGAAAAGCAATAAATAGCCATGATCAAGCAATGATCATGCAGAGAGATCAAATATAGAGTTACAGCATATCAGCAGGTAAAATGGTATAATGTTCACACAAACCATAATTCAGCTCTCCTTTAAGTACATTGGCTAGAGAGCTCAGCCAATCAGGATGCAGGATGATGCAACACAATTTTTAAAGCTACATAATACTTTTAGCTACACACAATGTTGGTTTATATATTTCCTGACCAACCAGTTGGGCAATAACAATTTCCTAACACAACTTATACGTAACAGCTGTCTGTAAATCCACATTTCAAATGCTTCCGACAGAAAGCCGCTTCCAGTGGCTTTCTGTCAGAGACCAACTCTCTACTCCGTAGAGCAGGATAGAAAAGATGTAATATCTGACAAGCTTGATTTTCAGTCTTGGGCTTATGTCGTGACTGGAGAAGACCTTTTTCATTTCATTGTTCATCCTCCTTTACCAAACAAAATTGTTCCCACAATCATCTGGTGACCTCCTCTTCTGACGTTACGTTTTTTTTAATCTCTGCTTTATTCAAAGCGGTCAGCGTTACCTGTCAAGCATATACCTACAAATGCCGCAACAATATGTGTGTGAGCAAGAAGAATCCGGAATGTGATGGAACGGCAGATTGTAGCGACAAATCAGATGAAGAGAATTGCAGTAAGTTCCGATTATATCAAGATACCCCGTTTTCCCGAAAATACGACCTACCCTGAAAGTAAGTCCTAGCTTGATTTTTACACGTGCACCCAATATAAGCCCTACCCCAAAATAAGCCCTAATTAAGATCCCATTCACTCCAGAGTGCACGGGTAAAAATTAAGCTAGGGTGAGGATGGGTGGGAGGAGGTGGAGCTTCCCTACTACTTACCTTTGGACAGTTGTAGCCAGGCCTCTCACACCCTGACACCTGCCTCTCTGGCCCATTTCTTCTGCAGCTGGCAAGGCTTTCCTGAAGGCTTCTGTAGCTGATAACAAAGCTCCGGATCGATCCAGAGCTCTGTTATCGGCTGCAGTGGCCTTCAGGAAAGCCTTGCCGCCACAGAAGAAGTTCCTGAAGGCCTCTGACAATGAAAAGGAGGCCGGGGGTGATGTGCACAAGTGAAGTTGTCAGTGGATGACATTCACCGAAAATAAGACCTGGGGCCTTTTTTGGTTGCAAAAAAAATATATATAAGACAAGGTCTTATTTTCGGGGAAACACGGTACCAAGGAAGTGGATAAGCTGAGAGGTGAATAAATTCACAAATGTAGCAATTTTGGAAAATTAAGCTAGCTTGCATGAAAGGGTTGTAAACTTTGATGATGATGATGATTACTACTACTATTATTGTTTGCACTTGGTGGTTTTTGAGTTGAGTAAGTAGGGCAACCTACTTGGGTCTAGATCAGGGATGAAATGCTCCCAGTTCGGACTGGATCGCCCGGTCCGGTAGCGATGGCGTCGGGTGGTTCGGAGAACTGGTAGCAAAAATCCCTGCACACACACACACACCCCATGCCCAGCTGAGCCGCATGATCATCAGAGGCTTTTTTTTTTTTTTTTACTTTTAAAGGCATTTTTTCTATAACCTTTTCCGACGGGAAAAAAAATGCTTTTAAAAGTTAAAAAAAAGAAAGCCTCTGATGATTGTGCGACTCAGCTGGGATCGTCAGAAGCTTTTCAAAGCATTTTTTTAAAAAGCCTCTCTGAAGATGCCAGCTGAGTTGCCTGATCGGCGGAGGCTTTTCAAAGCATTAGAAAAAATTGTTTTAAAAGTTAAAAAAAAGTTGGCCACGCCCACCAGCCACATTACCCCACCACCACCAAGCCACGCCCACAGAACCAGTAGTAACAAATTTTACATTTCATCCCTGGTCTAGATGGCCATGTTTGTTCTTTCTGTCCCACCTGGAGAGCACAGAGTATGTGCTGAGAATATTATAACATTATTCTTGATCTGTTTTGGGGGTGTTGGAAGCAGTGTTGATGGGCAGGATAGTCCTATTAGCCAGAGGTACTTATTTCTCAGTTATGAGGAATGCTGGCTCTCTTTTAGAGAGATTGGGAGTTATTTCCGTCCCAATGTCTTCCAAATATTTTTCACAGCCCTTAATGTAGAAAAGAGTAGATGAAAACAGAGTTCAGTTCCTGCCGTGATGTTAAAGAGGTGACAGAATGTAGGGAAGTACTTTTTCCACACAAAGGATTGTGGGAAACTCTTGTTGAATGTTCCAAAGGCAACTTTTCCAAAAGGCAACTAGACTAGGGGTCAGCAACCTGCAGCTCTGGAGCCGCATGTGGCTCTTTCACCCTTCTGCTGTGGCTCCTTGTCATTCAAAATATGCATCACAACCGCCAATGTGCGACACCCACCGGCACGCGATTTATTGAGCTTTTCAACCCCCGGTAGAGGCCAACCATGGATAAATCCAAGAAAAGAAAAGTTTCAGAAGAAAACGGAACATTTAATTCAACTACATATGCTAGTTTTGTGGCCGCTCAAGAAATAGTCAGGCACGGGAAGGGTTTTGTGGCTCCTGGTGTTTTCTTTTCTGTGGGAAATGGGTCAAAATGGCTCTTTTGAGTGTTTAAGGTTGCAGACCCCTGAACTAGACTTTCTTGTTGTTGTTGTTTTCCTTGAAAATGTTTTGCTTCTCATCTAAGAAGCTTCTTCAATTCATGAAGAACTGAATGGAAGAAGCTTCTTGGATGAGAAGCAAAACATTTTCAAGGAAAATAAGAAACCCCAAGAAAGTCCAGTTGCATTTTGGAAAAGCACCTTTGGGACAACCAATGACTGAATGGTTGAGAATCACCATAAACTCTTATTGAATGTCTTGACTGATGGCCAAGCATCTCTTTGAACTGAGGAGACCAATTGAACTGAAGGGTGTGTGTCTGAATTTTGTTCCTTTTAGACTGTGGCATCCGTGCGTATAGCAAGCAGTCCCGGATTGTGGGTGGAATGGACTCCGATTTGGGTGAATGGCCCTGGCAGGTCAGTCTGCATGTCCAGAGCGAGGGTCACGTCTGTGGGGCTTCCTTGATATCCAACAAGTGGCTGGTCACGGCTGCCCATTGCTTTGCTGAAAAGAACTACATCAGGTAGGTAGAGGTTTTTTAATATCATGCTTCAGAAGTTAATTGTTTAATTAATTAATTAAATTTAGTTTAATTAATTAATTTTAATTTAATTAATTTAATTAATTAATTGTTAATTAATTTTAAAAAAAATACTTTATTGAATTTTTAAAGTAAAGAAATCAGAAGAGTGGGAGGGGGGCTCACCTTGATTGGGGTAATGTCAGAGTTCCTAGTAATAGATCCATTACAAGCAAGAACTCCGAGGCAGGTGGATTCCTCAAAGAATAGCTTTATTGGAAATATCATATTGGCACATATCTGGTTAAAAACCAAATCTGAGGGGCCCCTGAGTTTTCACTTAATTAAAAGTAAAAGTTTTTCCCCTCAACCCCAAACAATCAGTCACATGCAGTGGTGGGATTCAGCCGGTTCGGCCTGGTTCAGGCGAATGGGTAGTTAAATTGCTGGCTGGCCCCACCCTTCCCTGCCCCACCCCTTCCAGGAGTCCTCATGTGCCCCATTTTGGCTCCTAGGTGCAGGGGGGCCTTCTAGGCGCAAAACAGGGCACGGGGGAGCAGTGCCCCCCATGGCTCGTTTTCGCTCCCAGGAGGCTGCAGGGAGGCCTAGTAGGCCCAAAATGGGGCATGGGGGACAGCGCCCCCCGTGCCCCATTTTTGCTCCCAGGGGGGGGGGTGCAGGAGGCCGAGTGCTACCTGTCACACCCCCTGACCATGCCCATCATGTCCACGCCCACCCAGCCAGTAATTAGGGCAGAGAATCGGTTCTTAAATTATTTGAATCCCACCACTGGTCACATGGCCCAATCAAGGCAGCGTCCGCTGGTCTGGTGACATCACTCCTCCTTCCTCTGGCCAGGTGTGAGAACGTCCTTGGTTGCCAAGAGAAAGTATTTTATTTTGACTACACAACCTCAGTGATCTCTAATCCCCCCCTTCCCTATCCCTCAACTCCATTGTGGCAGCACTGAGGCTCCAAGATGGCTCCGGCCAGATCAGCTTCAGGGTTGACAGGGGTAAGATGTTCCATAGGGTGCGGATAGCAGCTGAGAAGGCCCTTCCCAAGATCCCGCTGTCAGGTTTCGAGGTCGTCTCAAATAAGTTGCATTTCAAACAAAGTCTTTGAAGAAAAACTCCCATTTATTAAGCACGACATTCTAACTCCGACTCATCGCAGCCAACACTGACTTCCAGACCCAAAACCCTCCCTTTCCGTTCCCCACTCCCCTGCACTCATTGGCCATCTTCCAAATCACTCTACCCCTAATCTACTGCTCCAGCTCAAAGGAATTTCCCCCCTCCCATCCCATCTCCTAGGGGATATTATCTCCAGGGAAAATAAGTAGGTGAAAAGTCAAACATCCCTTTCCAGACGCCTCCGCTTCTCCTTCTTATGTCAGCACTAGAGTAACTGCAGCTTGAAGTGCTGACACCTGCCATGTTAGCTGGGGAATTCTGGGAGTTGAAGTCCACAAGTCTTAAAGTTGCCAAGTTTGGAGACCCTCAAAAGACCAATAGGATATAGAGCATGGCCCTCCTTGCTTGACTGGTTGGGAACGGGTCAATGTAATTGGGATGGGAGGGTTCTGCAAGTATCCTCATCCCGTGCCATGAATCCCATTTTGGTATGAGAAAGTGGAAAACAATACCGGCCTTCTTATCAGAGCCAGACACTGAGGTAGATAAGCAGTAATCGTCCAACCCTTGTTGAATTTCTCATGGTCCCAAGATCCATGTACTATCCAAACTCCAAGCTTTCAAACCTTATGCAGGTTGTCCTCAGCTTAGGACCACAAGTGAGCCCAAAATTTCCATCACTAAGTTGTTATGTGACGATTGTCCCCTTTGATTTTTCCCGCCACCGTTTGTTAAGTGAATCACCGCAGTTGTTACATTTCTAACATGGTTGTTAAGTGAATCTGGCCTCCCCGTTGACTTGGCTTGCCAGAGGGGATCACGTGACCCCAGGACACTGCAACCGTCATAAATATGAACCAGTTGCCAAACGCCTGAATTTTGATCACGTAATCCCCATGGGATAAAAGTTGTAAGTGTGAAAGCGGGTCATAGGTTTTTCACTACTGTTGTGACTTGAAATGGGACTAAACAATGGTTTTAAGTCAAGGAGTACTGTTGTGGCCTGCCAGCAGCCAGCAGAGCTGGCAGCAGATTCGGACAGTGAGGAACTTGGGGAGGAACATGGGCCAGTTCTGGAGTCTGGGGAAGACTCTGATGAGGGCTCTGCGTCGGAGGCAGAGAGAGGACCAGGGCCGGATGCCAGTTATCAGCTGCCTTCAGAGGCAGACATCAGTGAGGCAAATGAACAGCTGGAGCCTGTTCCCAGTATGCGCATGCACAGAGCTGCCAGGAGAAGGGAACAGCTAAAGAACAAGGGTCGACTCAGGAGTAAGGCCACAGGTGGATGATGAATGGCCCCTCCCATAGGGAATAAAAGAGGAGCGAAAGGGGAGTGGAGTTTGCAGGAGACAATTAGTTTGCTTAATTGGTTCTGTGACTCTCCGTGACTCCTTGCCAAGTTTTGAAGATATCGGCCTGGCAGCTCTCCAAGGTCTATGACTGTAAATTCTCCCTTGAAAGACTTTGCTGGATGTGAATGAGAAGAATTCACAGTAACTTAATAAAAAGGGCTTTTTGTCATGACAAGGATTCTGCTTTGTGCTTTTTGGGGAAGCCTAGCTCAGAACAACTACCTGCATTCAAAAATGCCCTTGCTAGTCTCGCCCTCGCTAACCGAGATACCTTGCTCTGCCTGCAGATATAACGATCCCTCCCTGTGGACTGCCTACATGGGTCTTCTGGATCAGGAGAAAAGGTCGAATAGCCACGTTCAGAAAAGGGCTATCAAGAAAATCATCACCCACCCGTTCTTCAATGACTTCACATATGACTATGACATTGCCCTGATGGAGCTGTCCACACCCATCACTCTTTCCAAAGAAATCATTCCTATCTGTTTGCCTGATGCCACCCACGAATTCCCTGCAGGGAAAGCCATCTGGGTGACCGGATGGGGAAGGACTGGAGAAACAGGTGAGTCAAGGAACAGGAAGAGGAAGGTGTCTCCTTGGGGAAAAGATTATTGAGATGCACCAATCTGCAGCTCGTTTTGGACAAACATCAAGTTTTGGTTGCCACGATGTAAAAAAGATGTGGAGACTCTAGAAAGAGTGCAGAGAAGAGCAACCAAGATGATTAGGGGACCGGAGGCTAAAACATATGAAGAACCATTGCGGGAACTGGTTATGTCTAGTTTAATGAAGAGAAGGACTAGGGGAGATATGATAGCAGGGTTCCAATATTTGAGGGCTGTCACAGAGAGGAAGGGGTCAAATTTTCAAGCGCCTGAAGGCTGGACAACGAATAATGGATGGAAACTAATCAAGGAGAGAAGCAACCTAGAAATAAGGAGAAATTATTTGACAGTTACAACAATTAATCAGTGGAACAGCTTGCCTTCAGAAGTTGTGAATGCTCCAACACTGGAAGTTTTAAAGAAGAGATTGGATAACCATTTGTCTGAAGTGGTGTAGGGTTTCCTGCCTAAGCAGGGGGTTGGACTAGAAGACCTCCAAGGTCCCTTCCAACTCTGTTATTCTATTCTAAACGTAAATGAGTGAGTGACTCCATCTGAAATTTTTCCTAGGTGGCAAAATGCCGGATGGTAAACATGCTTGTGCCACTAGCGCAGGTTTCAAAACATTGTCTGTCTCTCCCTCGATTCATGAACATACAGCATACAACCTAGAACGTAGAATAATAAAGTTGGAAAAGCACTTGGAGATCTTCTAGACAAGAGTAGATTGCTCCTTGCTCGAGAAGGAAATCCTATACCATTTTAGACAAGTGTCTGTCTTTTTTTTGAAAGCCTCCAGTGATGGAGCACTCACAACTTCTGAAGGCAAGGACAATTTCTGTCCCATTGATTGATTGCTCTCACCATTAGGAAATTTCCGCTTACTTCTAAGGTGGCTTCTCTCCTTTGGTTAGTTTCCGTCCATTGCAATGCAAGCCAGTCAAAAAGAGCAAAGGCCAAAGATGTATCAACAGAGGCTACACAAATAAATCAGCATTCTAAAACTTTTTGAAAACCCCATTTGTTTTCACTCGTAACATTGTTTCTCCAAATGCCCAGAGTCCTTGGCATAGGTAGTCCTCGATTTACAATCATCCTTTGGATTTGGATGTCCATGGCTATGCAGTGCAGTCATTAAATGAACCGTGGCCAATTTTATGACCTTGTTTGTACGGTGATTATGCGAATTTGGCTTTCCCTGTTGATTTTGCTTGTCAAACAGTGATCCTCTAATCCCAGGGTACTACAACTGTTGTAACTACATCCCGGTTGCCAATTCGGATTATGTGACTTCCCTAAATCTCACGCAAACCTTTCTGATTTTTTGGCAGCTCCTGGTGCCAGTATTTTGCAGAAGGCAGAAATCCGAGTGATCAATCAGACCATGTGTGAATCCCTTCTGGTCAATCAACTCACTGCACGGATGATGTGTGTAGGAGTCCTGACGGGAGGAATTGATGCTTGCCAGGTGAGAAAGTTTGCAATTTCTTCTGGAGACGTTCAAGCCCTTTAGATGTTCTTCTGGAGGTGTTCAAGCCCTTTAGAGGTTCTTCTGGAGATATTCAAGCCCTGAAGAACAGCAAGCCCTTTAGATGTGCTCAATGGCAATAAATAGACAGCTCCAGCCAGTCCATCTAGATGATAGAGAGTTGTTTAGCAGCATTGGGAGGTCTATCTGCTCCTTCACCATCCTTGTAGGCACTTGGCAACAAAGCAGCCACTAAACATAGAGCATAGACTATGCTTAGCCCATCTCACTCTGCTCTTCTATTGTTTATCTCCCTCAAGAACAGGGGTGTCCAACCTTGGCAATTTTAAGACCTGTGGACTTCAACTCCCAGAATTCCCCAGTCAGCCATGTTGGCTAGAGGATTCTGAGAGTTGAAGTCCACAAGACTTAAGGTTGCCAAGGTTGGACATTCCTGCTCCAGAAGGTCCAACCTACAAAAGAATCCGTCCAACCAATTCTGGCAACTCCTTAGAAAAACTTCCTGGAAGTATGAAATGAGGGAAGGGAGGACCCGAGATTCTGTTCCTTGATTAACCGTTGCCTCATTTCCTTTTAAGGGAGATTCTGGAGGACCGCTTACCAGCCTGGAAGTTAACAATAGGATGTTCCTAGCTGGTATAGTCAGCTGGGGAGATGGTTGCGCTCGCCGGAACAAGCCAGGAGTCTACACCCGGGTCACTAAGCTACGAACATGGATCAAAGAGAAAACAGGGTTGTAGGTGGTTTCTGCCACTAGGATTGTTCACCCATCTGATCCCTCATGCAGGCCGGTCAACCTGGCCATTGAAGAAGACTTTCCCACATGATGTGAAGGGAACCCTGTCTCAAACGTTCAACCCTTCTCTCCTTTTGTTCTCGTTCTTCTGGATCTCCCGGGTGGGGAAGGTTGGTTTGATAACGAATGACCCACCTGGATTAATTGTACATGGACCGTTGCCACCTGGAGATCCCTCCAGCTGCTTCTTTCCTTGCTTCTGTCTCCTGAAATCACCGCAGTGTCTTCATTTAAACCTGAACTGAATTTTTGACTTGGCCTGGAGCTCCGCCAGAGATCTGACTTTTGCACCAGGTGTGCAAGGGAAGGTTGGGGACCAATTTGAGATGGGATTATATGGGCTCCTCTTTTTCCAAGCGCCAAACAGATGACAGTGGGAAGAAAAGAAGATTAACCTGCCTTTTTAAAAAACAGATTGGAGGTCTGTCTCTGGGCTTGACAGCCTGTTCTTTTTTCCTTCTTGTGTCCGACATGATGCCACCTGCAATTATTCTACGGCCTTATAACTTTTCCCTTAAAATTCCTCATTAAGAGTCAGGTTGCTATCTTTGCTGTCTCAGTGTGCAAATCCCCGGAATTCTTACAGAAAGGGAATTACGACCGTTTCCAGATTTGCTATGATGTGGACTGATTTAGGGCAGGGGTCTCCAACCTTGGCAAACTTTACGACTTGTGGACTTCAATTCCCAGAATTCCTCAGCCAGCAAAGCAAAGCTGAGGAATTCTGAGGAAGCAAAACTGGCTGAGGAATTCTGGGAGTTGAAGTCCACAAGTTGTAAAGTTTGCCAAGGTTGGAGACCCCCTGATTTAGAGCTATAATATCGCTGCAAAATTTGGTGGAACCACTAGAGGGGAGCAGAGAGATTTTTTAAAAAGCTGTCTTTTGCTCATAGCCAGTGATATTCTAGATATTTGCAGCAGAAATTATGACAGCAGCTTCTTTGATTAAATGACTTCTTTTCTCTCTCTCTCTCTCCCTGTCCCCCCTGAGTGAACTTCACAATATCAGTGCAGAATTGCCTTTAAAATACAGCCTTGTTACGTCGACAAATAAGCACTGAAAATCATATTTGATCTGCAATGTAAGAAGCATCATATCAGATCTTGCTGGTTTTAAAGGGAATATTTCCCATCTCTGACTTCACCTCCTTTTTATAATATGCTGATCGGAGATGCAAAGGGAAGAAAATCAGGAAGGAGGGGGGAACAACAGCCAATATATTTTACACCCCCCTCCCCCCGAATTTCTCCTTTCCCATCCTCATTTGTTTCCCTGTCTTTACATCTCACCCACCAGCATAATTTAGATTGAGATTCCTCCTTGATATATATATTTTTTTAAAACCCTATTTCTATCCATTGGAGTCCCTGGGACAAAAAGTTCTGACTTTAGCATTTTTTTTTTTTTTTTGGGTAGGCAGAATTGAGTTCTATAGGGGTTCTGTCGATTATTATTAGGTTGTCTGCAAAGCTCCAAAATGCCTTTGAGGATTAAAAAAACCCTGACAATCGGGGAATAACAGCCTTTTTGCTCTCCTGTGCCTCCGTCTAAAAGCCCAGTTGAAATATTTGGGACTTGCAATCCACTTGCCTCTACGTTTCATAAAAAACAACAGCAATTGATTCTGGATTTTTTCCAACAGTGAAAAATCAGAATTCTTTCCATCAAGGGTTGGAATATGGTGGATGGAAATGGGAATGAGGGGAGAGCTTCAAAGCAAGCCTGTGAGATCTCATCTATCTTGCTTGTTTGAAGCTTGAAAAGCTCGTGCCTTGCATCTAAGTGAGACTTGCATCTCCTGAGCCATCAGCAAGACCTACTTCCTTTGAAGCACCTCTTGGCTCTTGTGAAATGCTACATGTTTCAGATGTTCTGAGACTTGGCTTCCTGAGCTTCTTGAGAGACATTCTGAGATTATTTGTAGATCCTTGGCATTCTTGTCGCCTTCTCCAAATCCCATCTTATCCAGGAGGTTTTATAGTAGCCCTTTCAATGTCCATGAGAAAGCCCACCTTGGAAAAACGTTGATATGGAGCAGAAATCTCTTGAGACCCTGCACTTTTAATCCAGTCCCTCTGCAGCTGTTTACCTCATTAGAATGAGATAGATGTAGAGAGATCTAGAGAATATAATTGTGTGTGTGCGCATGTGTGAATGTGTGTGTGTGTGTTTGTATGGGTGGATTGTTTCCTTTTTCTGCCCCGTTTTGGGGCAGATTGGCATTACCACAATGTGCCTTATTGTACAGCCTTGTTTAATTATGGTACTCTACAGCAGGGGTCTCCAACCTTGGCAACTTTAAGACTTGGGGACTTCAACAAAGCTTTGCTGGCTGAGGAACTCTGGGAGTTGAAGTCCACAAAGCTTTGCTGGCTGAGGAACTTGGGAGTTGAAGTCCCCAAGTCTTAAAAGTTGCCAAAGTTGGAGACTCCTGCTCTGCAGCATTTCTTTCTTCTTAGGGCCCCCTAAGGTTCTTGATAGGTTGATGATTAAAGGCCATTAGTTCTCCAATCTGGGGTCTCCCTGGTAGCTTTGTGTCATTAGCATTCTTCTTCTTCTTCCCCAGCTATTGTCCAACACCTGGTTAGGCGTTCTGGGAGTTGTAGTCCAGCCTTTTTTAGGGAGTGCTTCTATCCTGCGGTGTCAAATGCTGATTTGCTTCGGTGTTTGCTGGCTGCATCAACAGAATTTGAGCCTTCTTCGAGTAGAATAAGTGCCTCTGTCTAAGCCTTTGAGTGAAAGAAAAGATGACTGAGAGATTGTTTATAGGGAACAAACACTATTAAGTAGAGCTAGATAGAGCTAAAACGTTTCTTCAAGCCTATGAACAAGACTGTTGTATTTCACTGTGTGATCTGTCTTGTTGGGTTTTTTTGGTTTTTTTACAACTGTTGCTTTTACAACTGATGGACAAGTAATGGTTCTTTACTGTAAAACTTAAGTGTTGTCCTGTACATCTGTTGGTCCAAAGTGTAGACTAGAGAAAATTATTTGAATGCAAAGGATATTTAACAATCTGGGAAATTCTTCACTATGTCCTTTTCTTTAAAGCACAAAGCGACAGAAAGAGATCAGTGCAGAACTTAACTGTTTTACTTCACGTTAAAAGAAAGCGTTTTCAAAATGGTTTGAAACTAATCAGCTCAATTTTACTTCTTACCGTGTTTGCATGTATATAAAGATTGTATCTTTTTTTTAAAAAAAAATGCTGTAAATAGCTTAAATACGAGAAAACTGTACCAAACAGTTTTTAATTCCCACCAATATTTCTGTCCCTCCTTTTTATTTTTTATTGGAAAACTGAATGAAGTGGAAATGTCTGATGATTCTTAATCTGTTATTAAACTTGTTTTTTAATGGATGCTTCATTTTAATTTGTCATGTACTGTGGGGTTGAAATGTTTTTGAAAAGCTGGCCTGAGTAAAGATCCTATAAGCAACGAGAACCTCAAAACAGAAGAACAGCATCAAAATCACAAGAATTGATGCAGAAAGTCCTCGATTTATGACCACAACTGAACCCAAAATTTCTGCTGCTAAGTGAAACAGTTGTCAAGTGAATTTGGCTCCGTTTTACGATATTTCTTGCCAAAGTTGTTAAGTGAATCACTGCAGTTCAGTAAACCTGAGCTTCCCTGTTGACTTTGCTTGTCATAAGGTCGCAAAAAGGGATTCATGTGACCCCAGGACACTGCGACCGTCATAAATACGAATCAGTTGCCAAGCGTCTGAATTTTGATCACGTGACCACGGGGATGCTGCAACGGTCATAAATGTGAAAAATGGTGATAAGAGCACTTTTTTCAGCACTGTTGTAACTTCGGTCATTAAATGAACTATTGTAAGTCAAGGACTATCTGGGTTTTTTTTAGCAAGTATGGCACTTGTTATTGGCATGTAACACTGAGGCAGCCGGCTGCCTCTGTGAAAGGAATTTTTTCGGGCGGTGTTATCTTACCCGGTGTTATCTTACCCCTTACCTTATGCCTGAATGCCGGTAGGCAATCGGGGGAGGCTCTTTTCTTGTCCCTACGCGGTTTGTTCGTTCATGGGAATTGAACTGCTAAGCTGCCGATCTCAGCAGTGTGCAGGCCCAGCTTCTTACCACGTGAGCCACTGCAACCCCCAAGGACTATCGGTAATATCAATTTCCAGTTGACGTCGCGGCGAGAATGGCTGGAAAATAGCCGGCTTTGCCGAGCCTTGTGAAATCCTGCCGGTAACCACTGCCAGGAGACCCCACGGGATCATAGCCGCCTTGAAGGGGTGGTGAAGAAAGGAAAGGCACTTCGTTGACCATGAAGAATCCGCAAATTCCTTGTTAGGTCTAAGGCAAGCTCTCCCCGAATGGCAGCAGGGACGACCATCATTTTTGGCAGTCACAAAGCTGGGACAAAATTTGTGCTGGAGTGGTGTATGGATAGAGCCTTGAAATTGGGTGAGATAACTACCAACTTTTACTTTAAAGACCTGATGGTAACACAAGAATTTTAAAAGTTAACTCCAAAGCCTAAAATAGCGGCGAATTATCACACAGAGAAAGAAACCGGAAATTTAAGAGGCGAAAGAAGCCCCAGGGAAGCTACAAAGCACAGAAAGTTTGGGAAAAAAGCTTAAATAATTTGAATAGTGATCTTTGGGAGAAATTGTTTTGTTATTTGTATTTTCAACCCCCCTGGATTTTTTGAGAATCAGCTGTTTTTGACAGATTGCTTAACCTTGGATTTGGAAATAAGAGTTCCATCTACAGGATGAAATGAAGCACTACAACGGTAGCATACTTGGTGAAAGTAAACTCAATATACACAAAGACTAATGCACAGAATAGAAGTAATAACATCTGGAAGATGGCCACACCTTGACTCTATGTTAGAAGACGACTTGGATAACTTTGAGAATACTTAATGAGTCTTTTCTATCTTTTTTTTCCTCCTCTTCTGAAGACTTTAAAACTAACTTTTACATAACTAAATTTTGCTAAAATTGGCTATTGGACTATGAACTGGAAAGATTGGAGGAATATAGCGGATTAATTTGGACTTGGACTATAAATGTTATTTAACAGAATGCTCTATGACCGTGATGGCAAACCTATGGCATGGGTGCCACAGGTGGCACAGGGAGCCATATCTGTGGGCACGCGAGCGTTGCCCTACCTCAGTCCAGCATGCATGTGCACGCTGGCCAGCTGATTTTCGGGCCTTCTGGGCCCACTGGAAATCGGGAAATTGGCTGTTTCCGGGCCTCTGGAGGGCCTCTGGGAGGGGGATGGGGAAGGCTGTTTTCACCTTCCCCAGGCTCCTAGAAAGGCTCTGGAGCCTGGGGAGGGCAAAAAATGGGCCTACTGGGCCCACCGTGCCATTGCGTGCCAAAAACGGGGGGAGAGCGGGAGAGTCACGCATGCATGCGTGGAGGGATGGGGCACGTTGAATTATGGGTGTGGGCACGCACACGCGCAATCCCCCCCACTACCCTCACTTTTGGCACCGATGGCAAAAAGGTTAGCCATCACTGCTCTACGAGTTAAAAGAAGAAAGGTGTTAGAAGAAAAGAAAAGTGGGGAAAAAGAAGATTCAAAAATTTGGACAATTGGGAAGATATATAATTGGGAAACTTTAAGGTTGTAAATTAATAATTTAAGAGTATAAAAGGAACTTAAAAATATTGAGATACCGGAATTATAAAAACATACTGAGTAATTTTCATTGAATTGTTATAAAATGGATACTGAGGTATATGAAGATATAATTTTGATGATAAAAAGTATGCAGGAATTTTTAAAGAATGATAAAGGCACAGAAATGAATGTAGAAGTTATTCAACAAGTGGGGAAAAAAAGATATACAAGAAATAGGTGAGAACTTAGAAGAAACTCAAAAGGAGAGGCAAGAAGTTAAAAATAAAGATGAGAAAGGAACAAGTAGGAATCAACTAGAAAACTCCTCAAAAGCTTACAACATAATAGAGAGAAAAGAGAAAAATCCCCCTCAAAAAAGATTTAAAGGGGAAAAAGAAAATTTTCTTTTTTAAAAAAAGAAGGAGGTTTTGTTGAAGGGTGTTCAAACAATACAGCAGAAAGAGATAAAGGATATTCAGAAGGGAAGGTTTTGCAGGCACAAAAATATCAAAAAGAGTTATAGGACTCCGAGAAAGAGAGATAAAAGGCTGAATAAAAAGTTAATAATTGATGGGATTCTAAAAAGGTTAAGAGACGATGGATAATAAGAAAACATAAGAAAACATAAGAAATATAAATATAAGAAAACATTAATAAATGGAAAATTCTCAACTTGGAATATATACATACTAAGACGAGTAGATGGAAATTTAGGATTAGGAAATTTAGATGTATTATTAATATTTACAATGTGTTAAAGTATATTATGAATTAAAGAATTGGAAATTGTGGGGACTTGGAAGTACGCTCCTAGGATTGATTAAATATTGTTAATATTTGGCACTAATCCTACACATTGGGAATCTGGAAGTTATAATCTGGTGGTATAATGAGTAATTTCTAAAATATTAAATAATAGCATTTATTTAGGGGAATAAATATATGGTGTAAAGAAATGTTATTTATGTTTAAATGAATTAATGGGAAAATGACAAAGGATTATGAAAAAGAGAATAGCATCGTTGAAGTTGGAAGATTAGGGCTATAAATATTGATTTGTATTATTAGTGTTAACATTGTTTTTTTTTTTTTTTTTAAACAGACTTGACTCAGTCAATGTACTGTCCAGAAAATATGTATATGGAATAAAAAATTAAAAAAAACTTCTAAACATAAAAAAAAGAAAAGGACTATCTGTAATATCACTTTATACCGTACTAGTGAAGCCACATGGAATACTGTGTACAGTTTTGGTCACAAAAATCAATGCTCGGAGCCTAGAAAGTGTGCAGAGAAGAGCAGCAAGAATGATAAAAGGGTCTGGAGCAACAGATGCTTCGGTTGTGTGTATGGGTCCAACTCTTCTAAAGCCAATATATTTCCTCTGCAACCATTCCAAATAACGGGTTATATATCTTTCCCATGCATTTGGCGTTTTCCAGATCTACTTTCAGATTTACAAGAACATTCCTGAAGTTTTTCTACAGTTCCATAGTCTGACATGCCCTGGAATCTTAAATGTGGATACATTTTTGGAACAGTGCCTCTGACAAGAGGCAATTTGTTTAATCTTTGTTCAATGAATTTGGTGGATTCTTTAGATCAGAATGCACACCGAAAGCTCAGTTACCCTGTGTGCATTTGTATGTATGAAGGATGGATGGATGGAAAGAAAATTGATGGACGGATATAAAATGGATGGATGGATGGATGGATGGATAGATAGAAAGAAATTGAATGGATGGTTATAAAATAGATGGACAATTGGTAGATAGATAGATAGATGATAGACATTGATGTAAGTAGATTTAGACAAAATGGATGGATAGAAGATGGATGATGGATAGGTAAATAGACTAGATAGATGGATGCGATGGATGGATGGATGGTAGATAGATAGATAGATAGATAGAAATTGAATGGATGATTATAAAAATAGACAGTTGGTAGCTAGATAGATGATAGATATTGATGTAAGTAGATTTAGACAAAATGGATGGATAGAAGATGGATGGATGGATGGATGGGTAAATAGACTAGATGGATGATCTGGATGGATGGATGATAGATAGATAGATAGATAGATAGATAGATAGATAGATGATAGATAGAAAAAATTGAATGGATGGTTATAAAATGGACAGTTGGTAGCTAGATAGATGATAGATATTGATGTAAGTAGATTTAAACAAAATGGATGGATAGAAGATGAATGGATGGATGGATGGGTAAATAGACTAGATGGATGTGATGGATGGTAGATAGATAGATGAGATAGATATAGATAGATAGATAGATAGATAGATAGATAGATAGATAGATAGAAAGATATTGAATGGATGATTATAAAATAGACAGTTGGTAGCTAGATAGATGATAGATATTGATGTAAGTAGATTTAGACAAAATGGATGGATAGAAGATGGATGGATGGTAGATAGATATAGATAGATAGATAGATAGATAGATAGATAGATAGATAGATAGATAGATATGGTTGATGGGTGCATGGTGCATGGATGCATGTTTAGATAGATATTCTGTCCTATTTTTTAACAGATTGGCATGACCATAAGATGCCCACAGAAATCTCTTCTAAATTGTGGACCAAAAAAACCTCAAGATCTATATCTCCTGTAGTCCACAATGCACTCTGCTGTGTTGTTGCGCTTGGGGCATTGGGATAAATAACACAAGTGTTTCAATTTTGTTCGAAACCCTGGCAGGTTCAGAAGATTGGAGGG